AAAAAAAAAAAAAATAACCTCAGTCTGATTTCTGATACAAATACCAAGCTGCAGCCACACATGTGAATTAGTAGGGCCTCAGGGTCAGGATGTCAGGTGGGTGCATGGAAATGAGTGATAAAGGGTAGTTTAAACCATTTGAGAAAATGTTAAGTCCCTTAAGCTTGACAGCCTTACAAGTCATTGTACAGGGAGGCACCTATGGCTCAGTGAGTAGGGCGCCGCCCCCATATACCGAGGGTGGCGGGTTCGAACCGGACCCTGGCCATACTGCAACAACAACGACAAAATAGCCAGGCGATGTGGCAGGTACCTGTGGTTCCAGCTGCTCGGTAGGCTGAGGCCAAGAGAACCACCTAAGCCCAAGAGCTGGAGGTTGCTGTGAGCTGTGACAGCACTGCACTCTACTGAGGGCGACAAAGTGAGACTGTTTCTAAAAAAAAAAAAAAAGTCATTGTACAGGAATGAATAATTCCGGGGTGTAAAGGAGTAGGGGAGATACATGGGCTTCCCTCCTGCATCCAGGGCTTCCCTCCTGCACAGGGGTGGAAGTAGCCTGAGTACAGGGGCACTTCTGGAAGTGGGGTCAGGCCCCAGAGTGTGGGGAAGCTCAGGCGCTGCCCTGTTCTGTCCCTTCAGGCTCCTGGGTGGAACTGCACTTCAGCAACAGTGGGAATGGGGGCAGTGTCCCAGCTTCAGTGTCTATTTATAACGGTGACATGGAGAAGATACTGCTGGACGCCCAGCATGAGTCTGGACGGAGCAGCTCCAAGAGCTCTCACTGTGACAGGTGGGTGTTCCATGGGCTGTGGCCCGAGTAACAGCAGGCGAGTTGTCCTGATGGAAGCCCTGGGAACTGCCTTGTCCAGTCCACCTCACAGCAGGAGCCTTGTTTCCTGGGCCCTGGGAGCAAATGAGCAGTGCACCACCCCCACCCTGCCAGCTGCCCTGTGACGTGGCCACGCCCTGGGTGCCTGGTGAGCAGCACTTAGGAGTGGGGCCCAGGCATCAGGGCCTGAGAGGGTTGGTATCAAAGGCCAGCTGCTCTCCAGGATGGGTAATAGACCCCGGAGGCAGAGGATGACAAAGCCAGCCACTCACCAGCTGGCCTTGCCTCCTCCCTTGGAGACTGGTTTCTGAGCCCTTCCCTCATGCCCAGCTAGAAGGTACCAAGGGACAGTTTGGCCCCCCTGTCATGCTGGGCGGGGCAGCCATGGGCACTGGCCAGAGTCCTTCACCCTCCCATAGACAGTTCCCTGCCTTCCCTGCCTTTGGGGTCTTTGCTGCTGGCTCTAGAATGTTAACATGTTCTGTTTTCCTTACTCTGTTCACATTCTTGCCAAAGCCCACCTCGCTCACAGACGCCACAGGATACTAACAGAGCTTCGGAAACAGATACCCATAGCCTTGGAGAGAAGAACAGCTCTCAGGTAGGCTGGGAAGAGAGGGCAGTTATGAACACCTGTGACCTCTGCACTGTGAACAAGTTCAGTGGGATTGAGCCAAGTCCAGCTCAAGGTGCCCACTGCCCTTCTTAACTCTGGCTGGAAACCCGCCTATACTCAGACCTCTCTCTCAGCTGACGAGAGGTACAGAATGGGGTCGCCTGCCGTCCAAGGACAGGGCCCTGTGTCTGCAGCTGAGGGAGGGAGTGACTCTTTGTCCTTCTTTTTGGCTGTTGGTTGGGCAGTAAGTGGTTTTAAGATCTATAAGCTGTTTAGGAGTCACAGGGTCACCCCTGTTTTCCCTTCTGTGGTGGCCAGTGCTGTTGTCACCATGTCTGTTTTCAGGTCACGTTGGTTCCTTAAGACAGTGTTTGCAACTCTCAGTGGCAGCAGAACCTCACAGTGGCCAGATGGGTCTGCACTGGGTGGGACTTGGAGGGTGAGGTCTGTCTGTGGAGCCAGTGTGGGCTGTCACTGCCCTGGGACCACAGCGGGGGGAGTGGGCTCTGGCATCTGAGTGGCTGGCCGGTCTGAAGCTCAGGTGGAAGGAGGGTGGTTTCTGTGTGAATGTGATGGTCTAATCTGCTTTTACGTTTTTTATAGTCTGAGGAAGATTATATTGAGAGAAGGAGAGAGGTCGAGAGCATCCTGAGGAAGAACTCAGACTGGATATGGGACTGGTCGAGTCGGCCAGAAAATATCCCCCCCAAGTGAGTGTCGGGGGGCGTGGGACCTTCCTGGAGAGGCCGTACTGAGGGCACTGACGAGTCCGCTCCCGCAGGGAGTTCCTTTTCAGACACCCGAAACGCGCGGCCACCCTCAGCATGCGGAACACGAGCGTCATGAAGAAAGGGGGCATCTTCTCAGCGGAGTTCCTCAAGGTCTTCCTCCCCTCTCTCCTGCTCTCCCATCTGCTGGCCATTGGATTGGGGTAGGTGACGCCACTGGCTTCTGGCACGGCATGTCTTGGGTGGCTCTCGTCAGGTACAAGTGATAAGTTACAGTTGGTGTGTTTTTGGGTTTTGGTTTATTGTTTTTTTGAGACAAGAGTCTCACTACGTTGCCCTCAGTAGAGTGTTGTGGCATCACAGCTCACAGCAACCTCCAACTCCTGAGCTTAGGCGACTATCTTGCCTCAGCCTCCCGAGTAGCTGGGACTACAGGTGCCTGCTGCAACGCCCGGCTATTTTTTTGTTGAAGTTTGGCTGGGGTGGGGTTTGAACCTGCCACCCTCAGTATAGGGGGCCAGCACCCTACTCACTGAGTCACAGGCGCTGCCCCTGTGCGTTTTATTATTTATATTTTTTATTCTATTTATTTATTTATTTATTTTGAGACAGAACCTCAAGCTATTGCCCTGGGTAGAGTGCTGTGGCATCACAGCTCACAGCAACCTCCAACTCCTGGGCTCAAGCAAGCCTCTGCTTCCCAAGTAGCTGGGACCACAGGTGCCTGCCACAATGCCTGGCTATTTTTTGGTTGCAGCCATCACTATTGTTTGGCAGGCCTGGGCTAGAT